CTCGGAAGGGGGACACTTGGCTGAAACCTGAATGACAAGAGGTAACCAGTCCTCAGGTGGGGAAAAGCGTTCTGGGAGGAAGGCACACCGGAGGAGAGGCCTGAGCAGGACCAGGCTTTGGCAGGCTTGGTGGATGGCAGGCAAGCAGCGTGGCTGGCACACGCAGAACCAGCAGGAAGGGAGAGGCGAGCGGTCAGGAGGCTGGGAGGGACCAGAGTGCACGAGGCCCCCAGCTGCCATGGGAGCCACGGGAGGGCTTGGGCCAAGGGGAGACAGCTGGCTGCCGGTGGGGGAAGGGGGCCAAGGTTGCTCCGGAGGCTGCCCTGTGGCCAGGTGAAACGCGCCAGGGCCTTGGCCCAGGGCGTAGCTGTGGATGGAGGTGTGGGCACGTGCCCGACGATTTGGGAGCTCCCGGGACTTGGTGGTGGGTGGATGTGGAGGGTGAGGGAAGAGGGGACAGACAACTCTGGGCTTTGGCCCTGAGTACTTGAGGGCTGATGATTCCAGTCTCCGTGATGAGGAAGGCTGTGGGAACTGAGGAGGGAATAAAGTCTGGCAGGTCAGACCTGCAGCCACCGTGGAGAGGCTTGGAACCTTTGGCTTCTCTTTGCACTGTTCCAGAGGCTCCAGATGGCCCAGATGGCCCCTCCTCCTCTGGCTACTGCGCCCCGCCCAGCTCTGCCCAGCTCCACCGAGGGAGCCTTTTGCCCGCCCTGACAGTAGGACATTGGGAGGCCCACGGGCAGGAACTCTGCAGAGGTGGAGGGTCGGTGTCCCGACAGCACTCATGACTTCTCAGGGGCTTTGCAGCTTCCCCGAGGCTATTGTTAAATAACGCTGGAGAGGCCACTGTTCGAGCCACGCAGAGGCCTTGGTGGTGGGGGCACCATCAGCCTGCTTTAAGGCTGAGTCCATTTTCAAAGGCTGCTAGACTTCCAGGCAAAAGCAAATCCACATCTCTTGACCGCTCTGAGGAAGAGAGCTGGAACTAGGAGCCCCACTTTACAGATGTGTAAACTGAGGCCCTGACAGGTTAGGTGGCTTGGTTCGAGTGCCCAGAGACTAAAAGTCTGGGGCAAGCCAACTCCAGGCCCTTTCCTGCTTGTCGCAGCACATCTCATCTCCCGAAAGCCCTTCTGCCTTCAAGCCTCTCTGCTTCCCAGCCCCTGACCTGCCTCCACCCCCTCGAAGCTCCCCTGCTAAGCTTTCTCTGAGAACAGGAAGGGGTTGTTCCATGCCTTCTCCATACTCCTGCCCCAGCTCTCCCCAGGCTGCTCAGGCTGGGAGCCCAGCACCAAAGGCGGGAGCCAGCCACCACTCTTTGGGGAGCACGGTCCTTGCTCGCTTGCTGGAGTTCTGCCTTGCTTCACACCCTTGTCCCAACACTATACCAACAAGAGAGGTCTACTCAGAACACCTAGAATCAGAGCTCATGGCTCCGTTTGCAGATGGCCCAGGCCACCATCACCTCCTGCTCGGACAATTGCAGTAGTCTCCTTACTGGTCTTTCTACTACACCGTTCTACCATAGCTTCCCAACACTGAGCCTCACATGACATGGCACACCTGCCTCTTCAACCTCAGTTCCCACACCCTCCCATTCCCTCCTAATGCCACCTTGTCTTTTGGTTCATCTCACATACACTAGGCTCACCCCCACTCTGGGGCACCAGCTGTTCCTTCTGTGGATCTGGCTCTTGCCTGCTCACACAGCTGGCCCCTACCTCTTGTTCAGATCTCAGCACCCCCACCTGTCATTATCCCATCACTGAAGTCATGCATCACACTAAAAGTTTCCTTTTTTCTCTGCCTTGCATCACAGAATCATCAGTACCAAGCAAGTGATAGGTGTTCGATATTTGTTGACTGAATTAAGGAATGAATGAATGAAATCTGATACTGTGTGAATGGAGCAGAAGGTGCCTGCCCTCACGGAGCTTGGTGTTCATCCAAGTTCACGCACATTGTCTCGTTCCAGGGCTGCTCATGAACCACAGACCACACATCAGCAGCCTGTGGGTCAAATCTGACCCTCAATGGTATTTTGTTTGACTCGTTACATGTTTTTTTTTAAAAAAACTTTGGTGGGGGGCGCCTGGGTGGCTCAGTCGTTAAGCGTCTGCCTTCGGCTCAGGTCATGATCCCAGGGTCCTGGGATCGAGCCTCGCATCGGGCTCCCAGCTCGGCGGGGAGCCTGCTTCTCCCTCTCCCACTCCCCCTGCTTGTGTTCCCTCTCGTTGTGTCTCTGTCAAATAAATAAAATCTTAAAATTTTTTTTGAGCCAACTTTTAAAAATTGGTAGATTTCACATACAAATCTGGGTTTTTGGCTTCTTTTCGAAAATGGACAGATGTGGCCACATTGGGTTTCTATGCTCAGATGACATGATTGTTACTGCCCTTTTAGATAGGCACATTCTGCACCGTCCCCGCCACTCTCTCTGTCTTTCCCTGACAGCCCGGGTCAGTTGCCTTTTATCACCGAACCTGCCCTATTGCTTTCCTTATAATAAATTTGCTCTGTATCCATGCCTCTACCAAAAGTTGGAACATGAAAGGCTGAATGGGTCACATGAGTAAAGAAAAAGAGAGATTCATTCATGCAACAAATATTTATCGATAATCTACTATGTGCCAGCCACAGCTGTAGATACTGGAGATATAGGAGGGGACAGCATGGGTGACTATCCCCTCCCTCTGGACACTGTGTAACATTCTTACTACAAGTGGAGACATGGGAATTGTTCCTTACTAACCCCCCCACCCATGAGAAAGACTGCGCTTCTTGTGTCCAAGGTCATCTGTGAAGACTTAGTTTCCACTAAGCACCTACTGTGTAACAAGCCCCTGGCAAGGTCTGGCACAGCAGAAATGCTCAATAAATATCTGTTGAATTAATTAACTAAATTTACCTCCTAGACAGACTGTGTTAGGGGTCAATGTTGTTTCTCCAGGATTTATTCGAAAGGTAAGTGCATAGTAGGTGCTCACTTCATGCCAGTTGAACCAAAGGGTACAGGTAAGAAGGGAGGGCTGACAAAGTAAGTTTGGGGTGCAAGAAGGCAGAGCCCTGGGAGAGGAAGGGGCAAACAGCTCTGAGCTGCGCTGCGGGAGCCCACAGTGACCCCAGGAGGTAGGTGACAGGATTCTCAGGTGATAGACTAGGAAACAGGCTGGAAGGGAAAGCCCCTTGGTCAAACTCACAGGCCCCAGGAGGGAGTGAGGGAGGAGGCCCATCTGCCCCTGAAGTGCACACTCCCCCCCACCCACCTTCGGGGTGCTCCTGGACCACCTGTGGGGGGATGTAGAGGGCCTGCCCGGAAGCCGACCACCAGCCTTCTGCTCCCCTTTGACTCCTGACTTTTGAATTGTGTGAATTCATTTATCAGACTCATTTCTTCTTAATCTGTTCCAGCAAACATTTAACACGTGGGAAAGGTGTATGTGTGGTAGAGATCCTGAAGTGTTTATTTTATATGGGGGTAGAAGGAGAGCTAAAGAGAGGAAGGGGTCCCATTTCTGACCTCAGTAGGCCAGCTGGTAAGAGAAGCCCAGCCGCAGCCTGGCGCCAAAGTGTCACAGTAATTGGAAGGCAACAAGCGCTCCGAGGGTGGGCCTCCCTCCCCCTAAATCTGGGGGCTGGGCAGAGCTTGTTGAATGATTGGGGGGGGGGAGGGTGTGTGTCCCAGGCTGAACTTCAGCCGAGGATGGCCAACGGGGGAAAGCAGACAAGAGCCCTCTGCCCTGCAGTGGCTGCCACCAGGCAAAGTAGGTTGGGCCTGACTTCTTCAGGGGGCCTTGGCCTCGGCCTTGCTGCACCTGAAATCTGGCCCTTTGGGACCAGGATGAGAGTGTTTGCGGGAGCGTAAGCCCCAACGACTAAGGAGCTGAGGTCTTTCGAATCTCAGTGGACTCGGAGAGGTTTAAACGCCCCATCCTCCACGAAGCCTTCCACACTTCCCTGGCCAGAAAGCGGGCTCCCGGCCGTGATGAGCGATCTGCTCTCCGGCCGGCACTCTCCGCTTTGTGCTGTGGCCGCGTCGTCCCCGCGGGCACGCCCACTGGCCTACGCGCTCCTGGGGCCTCGCGTGCCTACCCGCACGGAGCCGGAGCCCAGCAAATACCTCTGGGCTGAACCACGAATTGCTCAGCCAGGCCTTCGGGATCCGGGCCGCCTGGGCCCAGGCCCGGTTCAACAAGTGTGGGCGGGCCGCCCGTTCCCGCCCGACGGCTTCGCGCCTCCCCAGGCGCCCGGGGCGCGCCGAGTCGGGCCGGGCCCCGTTGGGCGAGTTTCATTTCATCACCCGCAGAGCGTGCGAGCGCGGGTGCACATAACGTTGCCCCCTCCCCTCCTCGGCCCCCTCCGAAACTCCCAAACTTCCGTTTGCGCACGCTAGCGCTCCCAGCTGGGAGGTCCCGGGCGAGGCGGGCGGCGGCCCGGCCGGCGGGGCGGCCGGGTGCTGGGTGCCCCCCGCCCGCCCCCCGCCCCCGCCCGGCCCCCCCGCCCAGGCCGCGAGGCCACCTCACCGGCAGCGGAATGGAAACCGGTTCGACAGGTAACAAATAGGTGGGTTGTCACCGTTATTTCCCAACGCATGCGCCGTCGCTCCCCGGGACGCTCCAAGCTAATTAGCTCAGATCACCCCCCCCACCCCGCCCCAGCCACCAACACACACCGCCGCGAGCCAATAAAGCGTGAACCCGTCCGTCCGGCTCGCACTTTAAGACTTCCCGAGCGGCCGCGGGGGACGCCAGTCGAGCCAGGAGACGCTTACCTGCCGCTTCCCCCCGCCGCCCGGGGCACCTGGCTGCAAGGGCCTCCGTTCGGAGGGAGGGCGGCGACGGCCCCGCGGAGTTGGAAACGGGCGCGCACCGTCCCGGGCACGGTCTCCCCGCCGAACGTGGGGGCACTTGGGCGACTCGTTCCCTGAACTGCCCCCTCCCCTCCCCCGCCTCCGGCTCGGCCCGGGAACGGTGGGACGGCTCCCGGCTCTAGTGACGGAAGCGGACGGTGCCGGCGAGGAGGGTTCGAAAATGCCCCGCGCATTTCTGGTGAAGAAGCCGTGCGTCTCCACGTGCAAGAGGAACTGGAGCGAGCTCCCCGACGAGGAGCGAGGCGAGATCTACGTGCCAGGTGAGGCCAAGTCCGCGGCCGCGAGCCCTCCGCCGCCCTCGAGCCTGCGGCGCCCGAGGGGCTGGGGGCCCCGTCCAGGCGGCGGGCGTGCGGAGCGCAGCGACGCGGAGTTCCGCGGCGGGCGCAGCCGGGACGCCCGATTTTATGTTTAAGCGGCCGCGGCCCCGTTAGCCCGCGGCGCGGGGGGAGGGGAGGGGAGGGGAGGGGAGGGCAGGGCGGCCGAGGAGGCGGCGCCGGGTGGGGGCGGGGGCCGCCGGGAGGGGGCGAGAGTCGTTGCCAAGCCCCGCGGCTGGGCAGGGGGCAGGCGGGTCCGTGGCGCGCGAACCCGCGCGGTGCCGCCCTCCCCTCCACCGGCCGGAGCCGCGGCGCAGGGGAGGCAACGGGGTGTGTCACCGCTCAGGCGACCCTCCACTCTCACGTCGTAAATCCAGAAAGCCGGGACTTTTATGAGGCGGGAGGAGGCACTGGAGCGATGCCACCTGGGGGGGGGGGGGCACAGGGAGTGAGCTGGAGCTTCGGCCGCAATTTGTGCAAAATGTTAAGAGAAAACTCGTTTAAGCCGCCTTCATGGATCTGTCCGTCTTTCCCACACTCTGGTGGCCAGAAGGTCGTGGTGGGGGTCAGGCCGCCAGGGGTTCCCGGCCAGCCGCCCCGCGGAGTGCGCGGAGACCGTGGAGAAGGCGCCCCGGCTGCACCCCGCTTGTCCTGAGGACCAAGGTGGGATCAGGTCTCACCGCTGTTAGAAACGCGCCTTCTTGCAGAGGACATAGTTGAGTGGAAAGTGTTTTTCAGGAGCCCAGCCCACAGCCAGGGGACCAGGCCCCCGGGGCAGCTGGTGCACCCAGCTTGTTTCGGGAGGACGCCGTGAGAGCGTCCGAGTCAACGTTGAATGAGTAACCCGAGTTGTTTCTCTCTCCAGTGGCATCTTCCTCTGGAAGCCCTGAGAACACTTTTGTGCCTTCCGTCCTCCTCCACACCCAAGAAAATCTTTAGTCAGGAGAAAGCCAGCTTCCTTCGGAACTCCCCCTCCCCACGACTTGGGGGTGGGGCGGGGGCTGCGCTGCACACCCTGCCCAGCGCCTCCAAGGGAGGTGGGGGGCGGGGGCAGAAGTTGTAATTAACCAACCGACTTTGACCCTTGATCTGCAGGCTCCCTGGCAGCGCCCCAGGCCTTGTAGGAAAGTGGTGAAATGAGGGCAGTGAGGGGCCCTGTAAGGGCTCTTGCCTCAGTTTCTCTCCTGAATAAATTGGTGGAGACAGTGGGTGTACTGGTGAGATCTCTGTGGCCTGACCTGCCAGGATCCAATGGCCTGTGACGCTGTTGGGATGTTTCACAGGTTATCTCAAGGCGCTGCTTCTACAGCCTCCTTAAAACAAGGGGAAACTGAGACCCAAAGGCAGGTGAGCTGCCAGCTCACCTGAGGTGGATTAGGGTGTGGGCCCAGGATTCTGTTTATAGTTTCCTGCGTGACCAAGTTCCCTGGCGGGTTGGCAGGTTGGTGTTCCATCTCCAGAAGGGTCAGGAGAGGAACAGAGCCCCTTCTTCACTCCTGCCTCCTCCCTCACCTGTGTTTGTCTTGCTGCTTAGCTGCTCCTTCGGATCTGATAAACTGAACTTGGACTGTGTTAAAGGTGAGCTGAGCCTTGCGAGACTCGGTGTGCTGTTATTTTTAGTTTTATTTCACATCCCAATCAGTAACAGATCATGTGTTGACTTTTACAAAGGACAAAGAAATTCCGTTTGTTCAAATCATTGACTTCCTTGCATCCTGGTGATTTTCCCCACCACAGTTCTGGTGGCCGTTGCAGGAGTGGTGGGGGAGGCCTCCAGCCCAGGGGCTGTCCCATCAGGTGATGGGCAAGGGCTTCTGGGTGCTCTCTGCCACCTGCTGGTGCTGTCCAGGTGAGGGGAGCTGTGCAGACCTCTCACTCTATAGGATCGGCCAAGATGGTTGGGTCCGGGTCAAAACCTGGAGGGCACAGGTGAGAATTTGCCCTCATCATTCTGGGGAGGGAGAGTCCTGTGGGGTGAAGCAAAGGTAGAAGGCAAGGTACTTAATTGAGCCTCTAAAAGCCATGTGGCCCACTGGCGAGTTTTCCCACAGGTTTTGGAAATGAGAAAGGGAATGTTCTCGGGCCACGCTTGGGTGCCTCAGATGGCTGGAGAGTGGGGAGTGTGTTTTGTGATGGCTTGTCCCCTGGCTGAGCCATTCCATCACTAGCCGACCATGACCCCAGGAGCCGGCTGGGCACGTTTCCTTCACCCCACCTCACAGACTCAGCACATTGTGACCAGCTAAGCATTGACCCCAGTCCCACCGGGAGAGGCCCTGGGGAAGAGGCCCTGGGGGGAGCTGGGGAGCAGGGAAGCATTTGAGGTCTGACCTTCCTGCCGGGGCCCTCTGAAACCCTTAAGGCATCAGAGAGCCCCTGGAAAGAGACACTTTTACTGACTGAAGGCTCAGGGCGCCAGTCTGACCAGCACTCTAGCCTCTCTCCCGGAGGCACGATTCTAGAAGTTCCCACCCCCAGGGCAGAACCTTTTCCTGGCCTCACTCCCCTTCCAAAGCCAAGGGAAAAGCCCAGAGGTGGGCACAGGGGGCTGAAAGCTCACAGCGGAAAGGAGATTGCAGGCTACCTATTTGGGCCCAAGAGCCTGGCCTAAGCCCTTCACTCCCCGCCCCTCATCTCCCAAGGCATTTCTCCTTTGTTGTATCAATATTAATATGCAGGGAGTAATGCTGGCTTCTTGAGGAGGAACCTAAGCACCTGTACCAAAGGGCTAAATTCCATCTCTTGGGCTAAAGGGGAAGCTGGAGAAACAGGGATGAAGCCCCATACTCCAAGCCCTTGCTGAGTCACAATGAAAAGCCAGGAAGGTACTTGAGGGTAGATGAGCCTGGTAGCGGCCTGGAAGCCGAAATGACATGCTCCCAGATGTGGGCATCCCAGGGCCTCTTCCAGGCCCCCAGGCACCCCCTTTCCGGCGTTGGGGCCTCTGCAATCTGTCCTCCCAGTTCACCAACACACCCACCCCCTGGAGGCAGCCAGGCCGAGGTGTGGGGGACCAGAGTTGCTTGGCCCGGCTCTGGCTAGGCAGTGCAGGGGTCTGGGCCGCTCCATGTCCAGGCCAATGTGGACAGGCTTCTCAAGTCCGCTTTGGGCCCCAGAGTACGTGTGTGTGGGTGGGAGGGAGAGGGGGCTGGGGGAGATCAGGCCCCCAGTGAGGGTCCTCCTCTAACTCCTGGGAAGTGCTGGCAGGGAAGGACGTATCTGCCGTGGATGGGGACGGGAGAGCAGCTTGGGCCTGCGCAGTGGCCTGGATGGGGCCAGGGCCTCTCCCGTGGGGCGCTGTCCCATAAGCTGCCAAGCCATTTGCTCCAGGCTGCGGTGACCCGAGACAGACTCCTGCCACACCATTTGTCCCAGAAAGAGAGCAGGTGAGGGCAAGTCCTCTGGGCACAAGGAAGACCAGAGCGAAGGGTGGCCACTGTTGATGTTCACTTTCAACAAGTTCGCAGTCCCACGGGGTGCCCAGCCCCGTGCTGGCCAGAAAGAGGCGGGGAGGAGACAAATGGAGGCACAGTCCACGGCTGGTCAGGGCCACCCACCCTGGCACACGGGCTCAGGTGCCCGGTGTCGACTTCGTTACGGACACAGTACAAAAGGCAGTTGGGAAAGGGGAGAAAGATACTGCCTGCGAGAGAAACTTGGCATTCACAGAAGGGAAGCAGTAGGCTGAGGAACAGGCCCATTGTTTCCAAGGCTGCCCACCTTTCAGGCACTGCGAGCTGACCTGCGGGGGCTGAGGGAGATGGACACAGGGGACCCCTGCCTTTCCTGGTAAGGGGGCAAGGCCACCTCACCCAGCGTGGGTCTTGCTGATACATTGTCGCTCCCCATTCGGCGCTGAGTCACACCCCCCCACTCCCAGGTCAGCCCCCCCCCGCCCCCATGTGGTCAGAGGTTAGGCGTCCTCACGTGTGCCTCACCTGCTCGCCCCAGGGAGCAGCCGTGACTCCAGGCCCAGCAAGCGGTAGGACCTGGCCCTCTGTCCGGTATTTGGCCAGCTTGCCGTCTGCGACAGAGGGGACTTGCTGGGGGCCAGAAGGGGGGAGCCGGCCCTTGGGTGGAAAGCTGCCCATGCCCTCAGCATCACCCAGCAGAGGTGAGCTGGGCCAACCGAAGGGGAACCGGCGAAGGCCCGAGGGAGTAGGGAGAGGGCCGGCTGGTCTGGCCTTGCCGTGCTCCGCAGCTGTGGGCGGGCGATGATAGCTGCAGCCACCGCCTTGCCGGAAACATCTAATTAGGGGACAGAGAGCAGCACAGGCAGGGCCCAACCAGTTCTGCTTCCTGCCTCCTGCCTCCTGCCACCCAGTGCCACCCAGTGCCAGGAGTGGCACGCTGATGAGCATTCCGTGTGCGTGCGGTGGCAGCAGGGCCAGGCTCACGGGGGTGGCGGGAAGACAGGTTTGGCGGGGTGGATGGCATGAGGCAAACATCCCCACCCACAGGGTCCCCTGCCCCTGGCTCCCTCCCTGTCCCCTGCTCCTCAGCACCAGCTCGGCGGGGTTGCTGCGGAGTGGGAGAGGCAGGCACAGGAAGTCGGTCTCCCCGGTCTCCCTGGCTGGGGTGGATCCGCAGCGCCCCCACCCTGAACACTGCCACCCCCTCGGCGCGAGGGAGCCAAGAGTGACAACTCCTTCGGAGCACAAACCAGTGAGCCCTCACCTGTCATCACTCCTCCCTCGGCTGCTGCCTGTGCAGGCCGTTTGGCCAGGCTCCAACTTCCAGGAGCTTCGCTCACGCTATCCGATATGGAAGGACAGAAGAGGGAAGAGGTTTCTGTTCTGTTTGTCACTACCTGGATTGAGAAATGGAAATTGTCATTCAGCTTTGAATTCTTGGCCAGGAGCTCCCTCCGGTAGCTGGTAAAGTGGCATCAGAAGCTGCCAGCACTCTGCCACACCCCCGCCCCTTCCCAGTCCCCAGCCCCCAGCAAGGGCGTGCACAGACAGCCGTCCCTATGGGGAGGCCGCAGGGACCCCGAGAGCTTGGGCCTGCCGGCCAGCCTCCCAAGCTTCGGAGAGAGGCGCCACGCCAGCTCAGTTGCCGGGCCGGGCCAGGCACTGGTGAATCAACTCCGGGAATGAGGTGGCTCATTAAAGTCCCCCGGACAGACGGACGCCAGTGCCAGCAGAACGGGTTCTGGGCGGCAGGCAGGCGCATTCTTCCCTTGTCAGACCTTTGTTGTGTTTTGAGGGGGCGAGAGCCAGGGCCTCTCCCGAAACTTCTTCAGTGCTTTCATATTCACGCTTTCTCCATCAGTAGTCCTCGGCCTTCCCTGTCTTCTGCCTCCAGCCCCCCTGCCCTGGGGCCGCCCCTCCCGGGGTCCCCGGCCTCTCTGTCTCAGCAGCCATGAGGCAGGGGGTGCACTGGGCCTTGTCCGTGGGTCTGAGACCTTTACTCGGCCTCCCAGAAGCAACTCATCCTTTCCTTCCTCTGCCACTCTTGATTCTTCCTTTTGAAGCTTGGAAAATGCTCGTAGCTTACGAGGTTTAAGTACAGCGAACCCTTGCCCAACAAGATGGGTTTGAACTGCGCACCGGGCCACTCAGACATGGGGTTCTTCCCATAAATACAGCACAGCGCTGTAAATGTATTTTCTCTTTCTTAGGATTTTCTTCATAACATTTTTTTCTTCTCTCGCTTACTTTATTGTTATAATACACAGAATGTACAAAATACGTGTTACTCGACTGTTTCTGTTCTCGGTAACAGGAGGCTCTGGGCAGTTAAGTTTTGGGGGAGCCAAAAGTTCTATTTGGATTTCTGACTGTGGGGGTGGAGGATCAGCACCCCTAACCCCTGCCTTGTTAAAGGGTCCACTGTATGGAGTTTAGCCTTTTGGGGAAGAAAACTACTGATGAGTTAAAACATTAGCTAGTTTGCTCTGCTTGGCTCAGCTTTGAGACCCGTCCCCTCCGTGGCACTGTCACTCAGACAACTCTTCCTCTTCTCTGCTTCGCAACGGGGTTTAGTGTGAGGTGTGTGTCGCGGGGAGCGGCCGCCGCAAAGGGCTGCCGGGTATCGGTGCCTCGGAGGGTGGAGGTTGGGAGCCCAGCCCTCACTGTGCCCCAGCGAGCGGTCCCTGCCGTGGGGGCGGGTTGCGTAATAGCTGGGCACGACGCCCGGGAGACTGTTAGGCTGCATCCACCTGCTGCTCCCTGACCTCCTCCCTGCTCCACCTCACCTGGCCTGTTTGCCTGCCAAGCTTGGCCAGTGGGAGTGGGGAGCCTAGAACCCTGAGGAGCTGGAGAGCAGACACCAGCCAGCCTGGAGGACCACCCGGTCCCCCGAAGTCCAGCAGCTAAATTGGCCTGAAGCAGCAGCCCAGAGTGGCCCAGGTCACTGGGGACCCGTCAGGGCCAGGGATGAATCCCTGGGCCCAGGGCCTCCAGTGGTGCCCCTTGTCCACGCAGGAGCATGGATGAGACCTGGAATCCGGAGGGACTGGCCCAGGTGGGGCAGGCAGACAACTCGGGAGGGATAATTGGCAGGGCAGGTTCGGTCCTCCCAGTTCCGCTAAGACACAAATTACTCAGTGGGCAGGCCTGTGGGCTGTGGTGCTTGGCGGGTGTCCCCTGTAATTACCTTAATGGGCAGGAGGGAGGGGCAGCGTGTATGGGCTGGGGGCAGCTTGCTCTGCCATGTGCCTGCGAGGGGCAGGCGGAGGCTCCCGGGCCCAGCCAGCCCACTGCCAGGCAACTGTCCTGAGACCCCAGTGAATCCTGTTCTCCCCACCAAACCCCTCAGCTGGCTGTTCTTCTCTCTGCAGTCAGTCTGGGCTTCTGCCCACCACAGCCCTACCGGGAACCAGAGCCGTCGGTGGCTGAACCCCCATCTTGCCCCCTGGTTTTGGACATGAGCCTTCGGGACTCCAGCTATAGTGTGGCCCCTGGACCCTGCGTGGTAGCCCAGCTGCCCTCCGAAGACGTGAGTCGTTTGGCAGACCCCCAGAGCAGAGACCACGGCTTCCTGCGCACCAAGATGAAGGTACTGCCCCTCACACTGTCTCCGAGGATCAGGAGCGTGTCTATAGACCTGTGTCCAGCCCACAAGACCCGGTACAATGAGACCCAGACAGAGGCTGGCCTTGGATCTGGGTCCAGGTTTCTGCTGAGAAGTGGACCCAGCAGGGCATGGGGGGTGCGGGGAGAAGAGAAGCAGGTCTAAAGCGACAACGTCATGCATTGGGAAGAAGCAGCAGGGTTCTAGAGACATTTCACCCTTTGGAGTCCATTCCAGGAGTTATTTCGGTTTGTTTCTGTCCTTAAGGAGAGGTACCTCTTTGCTAGTCCTAGGAAAAGCAGGAGACGTGAGCCCGGCTCAACGCCTTCTCCTGGCTTCCCCTCCGTGCCGCGTCCAGAGTGAGCTCTGGAGTCCACTTGGTGGTTAGCTGTCCCTTGAGGCACGTGCCCGGTGGTCTCCAGCTCACCCGAGCGTGCCGCTTCCGGCCCCGTCGGCATCTGAGGCCTTGTACCTCGGGCAAGGCCGGGGGGGCGGGGAGCAGCCTGCTGTGCTCAGCCTCTGCAGTGGGAGCAGTAAGGAGGGCGTGGGGCAACAGAGATGCCCCTGCTTTTGAGGAGCCTGCAGACAGCGAGGCTGTCGCTGGCTGGGCCTGCATTCCTGAAAGGTCTAGGATCTGGAAGCACCTGCCAGCACCGATCTAGTGGAAGGAATCTTGTAGCTCTATTCTGTGTGCCAAAGGACTGAAGAAAGCTGGCAGCAGAATGCCTTTCCTTCCCCTCTTCCTCGTGTAGGCCAAGCGTGTGTTGTAACCAGAGGGGAACCACCCAGACACGTGCAGGGGAACCAGCACAGTGGCCCCAAGCCCCTGGGGCCTTCCTCTCATCCCTTGGACTCTGGTCGGTAGGGAGGGCATGGAGAGAGGGCAGAGGGCACGGGATGGCAGATGCGCCTGAGAGGTGGGTCCTGACCCAAAAGGTCTTGACTAGCCGGCAATAAGGGGCCTTTCCCTGGGGCCAGAAGCAGTAGAAGAGTGTGATGTGATGGGTGACAGGAGGAGGTGACAGCAACAGGGCCACCTGCAGCACAAGCAGCCTCTGGACGTTAATGGCTGTGGAGGACCGAGACCATGTCTGTCTGTGCCAGCCACAGGGCCGGAAAGGAACTGCCGTCACGCGGAGCAGCATCCTTCCCGAGGGGCAGAGCATGGCCAGGATTTGCTTCCAAATGATCCAGGGCCAGGGGGAGGTTGGGAGGTAAAGATAAAACAAGACTGGCCCTAAATGACAGTCACCCTACTCATGGTACTCATCTCCACAGCTGAAAAGATTTGAGCCTTTCCGTGGTTACAAAAGAAATGAAGCAGGTTTATAAGCAAGAGGGCTGTGAGGATGGCAAGGGGCCTCCCCTCATACCGCGTCAGGCCTGGCTCCAGTAAAAGCAGGGGGCTGGGCTTCAGGCTCCGAGCGGCGGCCTCGGGGGGCGATGGCCATGACAGAGGCCATATCCTGGTCGTGCCCCTGTCCTCCCTCAGAGAAGGCCGACAGAGGCCCAGGTGCAGGGCAGCAGCTTTGAGCCCCAGGAAGGGAGGCCTTCCTAACAGGTGATGGTGACCCCAGCTGTTTCTACAGGTAGTTCATTGCACATCTCTAGAGGTGTAAAGGGGCGGGTGGCAGGGGATTCAGGAACCCAACAGCAGGCCTGACCATTGACCCAAAGGTTCCTTCCAGCCCCACCAGCGCTCATCTGTGAGCTAGGGGCACAGAGGTGCGGCCTCCGGAGGGCGAGCTCGGCTTTCCATGGGCGGCTGGGGGCCGGTGTTTGCATCCTCCCAGCATGCCCACCTGCAGCCCCTGCTCCCGGACGGCTGTCACAAACACCATCCTCGCCCACAGGTGACCCTGGGGGACAGTCCCAGTGGAGACCTCTTCACTTGCCATATCTGCCAGAAGGCCTTCACCTACCAGCGCATGCTGAATCGCCACATGAAGTGTCACAACGACGTCAAGAGGCACCTCTGCACCTACTGTGGGAAGGGCTTCAATGACACATTCGACCTGAAGAGACACGTCCGCACCCACACCGGTAAGAGGAGCCCCTTGGGGTGGGGCAGTGAGCTCCTCCAGCCCCTGCCCAGTGGGGGATCCACAGCCCAGGAGGGGCATCCTGGAGCTCGGGCAGAAGCCCCCCTCGGCTAATCGGTTTGGTCCCTCAGGGAGCTGGAGATGGGACAGGCCTCCTCGGTTCCCCTCCCCCAGAGTCAGGTGGCCTGGCCTCGCTGTGGTGGGGAAGCTGCTCACGGGGCTCCTGTCGGCTCCCTGACACCCCGCGCTCTCCTCCCTGCAGGCGTGAGGCCCTATAAGTGCAGCTTGTGTGACAAGGCCTTCACGCAGCGCTGCTCTCTGGAGTCTCATCTCAAGAAGATCCACGGCGTGCAGCAGAAGTACGCGTACAAGGAGCGGCGGGCCAAGCTGTACGTGTGTGAGGAGTGTGGCTGCACGTCTGAGAGCCAGGAGGGCCACGTCCTGCACCTGAAGGAGCACCACCCCGACAGCCCACTGCTGCGCAAGACCTCCAAGAAGGTGGCCGTGGCCCTGCAGAATACTGTCACCTCCCTGCTACAGAGCAACCACCACCTCTGAGTGGCACCACCCGGCCTGGGTCGCCTGCCCGCTGCCCGGCCAGTCCACCCTCCCGCTGCCTCTCGTGGGCCGCGGTGACCAGGCCTGGAGGCCCCCACCCCCTGCCCGGGCACACGTGCCGGCTTCGGCCCTGCACTGAGCTCTGTTCACGTTTGCATTTTTGTCTGATGGGCAGAGGCCACTCCGAGCCCCGGGCCGACATGGGCGAGGCCCACCTTCAGAGAGAGGACTTCCCAGAGGAGGGACATGAGGATGCTTGGTGGCCTTCCTCCTCTGGAGCACAGGGGCGGGGACCGCTGGTCCCCCGTGGACAGCAGAGGAAAGAGCACGGGCAGAGAGCAGCCGGGCAAACCCAAGGTGCTGCTGGGGGAGCTGGTGCCCGCCTGCCCCGCGGTGCATCCAGCGCTCAGGGCCGCGGGGGGTGAGGCCCTTCCCACAGGGAGATGCATACACGTGCCCAGCTGTGGACGCGTGTGCGCACACAGGAGGCCTTTCCACACATCACCTCATTTTTAGGAAATCGACGACAAGGTGCCAAGGAAGTTTTATTTCCTTTTTTTAAAGATGACACATGTACAGATATATTAATATATTTTTGGTGCCGATGGCGGCTATTTTTAAGAGAGGATGGAGCTGGCTTTGTTCCCTCTCTATGCAGTTCTATTTATCCTGGACATTTCATACCTCCTCTGTGCCTTGGCTCTGGGGGGGCTGCCCTCAGCCACCCCCACCCCTCGCACCTAAGACCTTCCTCCAGCCCTGCCTGGGGGCTGCTGGTCTGTCTGCGGTAGCTCGGGCTGCACTGGCTCCTCCCTCCCCCCCTCCCCCTCCCCAGGGCTCTGCCTCCCTCCCACATCCTTTCAGGGCATGCCTGGGGGTTACTGAGAGCCTGCTTGCCTCCCAATAACAGACCTTTGTGGAACAACTCACCAGTGTGGAGACCAAGAGTTTGTCCAGCTGCGGCTGTAGGAGAAAGGCCGGTGGGGTGATGAGTCTTTGATGCACCCAGAGTCCACCGTCGAGACTGAGAAGAGAATGGGACCAGACTGCAAGGCCTGCCCTTTCTCTGGTTGAGAGAAAAACCCTAGGGCAGCAGCAAAAAATTGGGACAGAATAATAACCAGACCCATCAGAGGCCTCTCGGGAGGGCAGTATTGGAGGGCTAACAAGTTCTATTTGTAGCCTATTTTCTGACTCTTTCACAGGACTAGGCTGGGTTGTGAGCACATAAGGAGCGAGCCATCCCGGGGCTGGTTGGCTCCATCGGAGGAAGTCGGCCACCAGGCTCTATTGGTGTGGCTGTGTTTCCCGCTAAAAACAGGAGAAGGGGTGTGGGTCAAAAGGGAGAGAGGGGCAGGGTTGGAGCCAGCCTGCCAAAGAATGAGAAGGCAAACTCGAAAGAGGTCCGGAGAATGCAGCGGGCTGGGTGGCGCAGCGAAGCCGAGCCCCTGAGCAGAACCAGCCCCAGACCGCAGGGAAGGCGCTTTCTGGGGCCGCCCTCTGACTGTGTATAGATTGTTCTGGAAGACTCCTGTTTTATTTTACTTTAGAGTGTCTGGGAGCTGCTGTATTCTGGAAGTTATATAGTATAAACCTTATCTGGAAGCTCTGTTTCGTTTACATTTCTGTATCCCTGTGTTATTGCAATTGGAGGGAGTCCTAACGCTCTGTGTTGTCTGTTTTATTTTATAACTTTCCCCCCAACTATTAAAATCAAAGGATTATCGTTTTCTGTGTTTCTGCTTTTTTGTCTTCTAGACCTCTCTTTCCACCTGCAGGGAAATTAATCAAAACAGTGGTTGCATTCTAGTCAAAGCTTTCCCCTTTTACGGTTACCAGTGAGCTCCAGTCAAGCCAAGAATCTGGCTTGCACAGCCAGAGCGGCCTGCCCGTGGTCGCGGCACTCAGTGCCTGCCGACCGACCGCTGGGTTGCTTGCTTCACCTGCCTGGCACTCCCGCATCCTGACGGGGCCCTCCACCGGGCCAGTGTGGTCGCTCGGGGTCCAGTTTCCGCTTCTCTTCCTAGCACCTGCCAGGACCGCAGAAGGAAGACGGTGATCCCAAGTGACAGGGCGCAAAGGTCACATGACTTCTGGGTCAGGCACCTAGCTATAGGGCTGGCCACATTTGCATAGCACACATTCGGTGCCGGGCACACTTGTTTCACCCACAGTAGCTCGCTGCCATCACTGCGGGCAGAAAGAAGCTGGGTAGTGGGCCAGGGTCTCCTGACTGACTAAGGTGGAGCTGGGGTGCGAACCAGACTGCCTGGCTCTGGGGCTGTGCGTGCACTGCCCCTCCAGGAAATTCGAACCAGACGGGAATTTACAGATTAACTGGCCTTCCCCATCACCTACCTAGGATCCCTTGCGGAGACCTGATCACTCTGGGGACCCAGTTCCGTGTTCTTCCATCATGTCCCCCCTGCTAGGTGGACACCAAGGAGGGGGGGTGGCTGCCAGGCTTGGGCCTTCGATGTGATGTTCCAGGAGGTGTGAAAAGGGTTCATGCCCTGGTGCTGTGAAGAGAAAGGAAAACACAGTTCTGACGGTAAGGCTTCCTGTGAGAAGCCCAGAGGATTGGCAGGGGCCCTAACCCTCCTTATGTCTCTTTAAGTAGCCAGAGGATTTTTATCTCGAGAAGCCTCTCAGTGTGAAAGACCAACCAAATCCCGTTTTTACCTGTCCCAAGATGAGCAGAACCCATTGTTGGGAACCCAGATGATTAACTGCTGTGTCAACTTTAGGAGGAAGCGGGGATAAACTCCTAGGAAGCCAGGGGCGGGGGTGGGGATGTTCCCGGGGCTCCCTGTGAGCTTCTACTTTCTCTCCCACTCCTTAGAAGAACTCCAGTGTAGGACACCTCTCCTAGGAGCCCTTCCCTAGCAGCATCAGTCAGACAGCCCCATTTCGAGGGACCGTATGACCTGCAGACACTGTAGCATGAGTGCCATGAGAGAAAAAGGAAAAGTATGGGGCCTCTGCTGACTGGGAAATGGGCCCCAGCCAGGCAGGGATAAGAGAGGAATGGGCGTCAGCATATAACCCAGGACACGTGTGTGTCGCCAGACTGCAAATGCCGTGGGACCTGAAAAGGAGTCTTTTGCATCTGAAAGAGTAAAGACTTCTTGGAAGACGTGGAGCCCCAGCTAGGCTGAGAAAACAGGGGATCTGAATAGAACCAAAGAAGTGGGGGGTGGAATAGGATCAAGCCCAGAAGGGAAGAGGTGTGGGCAGAGGGTCTCACTATTTCCATCAGCAATCTGGATGCTTGCTTCGTTCATTCAGCACGCCAGAGGCATTTTTGGAACCCCGCCCAGGTGTCAGTCAGAGCTGATAAGACAAGATTCTGACAGGAGAGCCGGCTAGGGCCTAGCAAGATGGCCTCACGGAGGATGAAAGCAGAGTCCTATTTTTTTTTTTTTTAAGATTTTATTTATTTATTTGAGAGACAGAGAATGAGAGACAGAGAGCATGAGAGGGAGGAGGGTCAGAGGGAGAAGCAGACTCCCCGCTGAGCAGGGAGCCCGATGTGGGACTCGATCCCGGGACTCCAGGATCATGACCTGAGCCGAAGGCAGTCGCTTAACCAACTGAGCCACCCAGGCGCCCCAGAGTCCTATTTTTATAGCCAAAAACAAAGCAAACAAAGGTGGGGTGGGAGCACTTTACAACAGGAAGCGCTAGGAAGGTTTATACCTTATATTTTATGTATTTTCTAATTTTTTTTTTTTTTACAATAAGCATATATTATTTTTACAACCAGAGGAAAATAAAACTATAAAACAATTTAGGGGGTTTAGCTGACACAAAGTTCAACACACTAGCCCCCCCCAAAAGCCAGCGTGATCTTGGACAACATCAGGAGCGTGGCGTCAACAACCCTGCACCCTGGGCGCGTCCCCGGTCAGTGGGTCTGAGGCCCAGCCCTGTCTCGTGCTGTCTGTGCGGGCTTGCGCAAGTGACCCAACCTCCCAGTTTCCTCATCTATAAATGAGGTGGGTTCCTGAGTTCAAAAGTCCCTTTCTGATATAAAGACTTTATGTCTCTAGGCCCCCATCTTGATAAAAGCTTTGAAGAAACTCACTGACACCTTGGAGTGGAGATGAGGAGACGCAGGAGGCCGAGAAGTTGCTCAGTGGTGGCAAAGACCAACTACCACGGTGGCTGGCTTGAAGCAGAGGGAAAGGCTTACCCCGGGTGGTTCCAGCTGTAGAGCCTGGGCCGAGAGGTGAGGATTAGACGGGGTGGGGGGGGGGGAGGGGACAGCCCCCACTGCAGGGAGTAGAAGCCTTCCAAGCCCCTGCATGGCTTCCCCAGGGGGCGGCTGCATGGGGGAGGTGGGAGGGGAGGGGAGGGCAGCCCCCCCCCCCCCCCCCCCCGGGCACTGTCACTGGAGTGCTGGGGCTCAGAAGCCATTCGTTAGCGATTTCTAACAGGACTCTGTCATGGGACTGAAGGCTGGACAAAACAATCTTCAAGACTCTTTCTACCCTCAAATTCTAAAAGGCCAGGCCAAAGTACAGTGGTCATGACTTCCCGGCCTGTTTACCATTCCCAAGAAGGCAGAGCCAGGGTAAGATGCTAGTGAACAGAATGGAATGGGAAAGACAACACTGGAAAGCAGCAGCTGGGGGGGCTGTCTCGTACGCTGGGCTTGAGGTGACGGAGACCTGGACTGACTGGGGGACACAGACCCCTTCTCACTGCCTCTGGTCCTGGCCCGTCCCCTAGGGCCACCCAGAACCAGGCCCCTCCCTCAGGAGATGGCAGCCACCTGACCCAGGGTGTCCCACCCTCTTCGTATCCAAGACCAACGTGCCCTCCTCCATTCCTCATGCCAGCCCCCTTCCCGAGTTTCTAGAGTCTGTTTTGACATTGCACCCCCCATCACCCAGCCTCGCACCTCCCAGCTTTATTTTAGTTCCTGTAGCCAATCAGTCAACTCCTCTCGAGGCTCCCTCTGAGATTGCCCCTCTTGCCGGGCAGCTCTCCGCCTGGGGGGGCAGGCTTGCCGACCCGTGGGGCTCAGGCCGTGCGCCGCTGTGGGGCCAGCGCTGGAGGGGCGGTCGTCGGACACGCAGATTCTGGTGCCGGGCCAGGGCGGTGCATTGAGAGTTAGATCTTCCAAGTTCTGTTTCCTGAATGTAAGAGCTGGGTATCAAGTGACTGATTTCCTCTGTTCCTCCCTATTCTCTCTACATAAACTGGGTGAGAACTTCCGCCCTGATCAATCTTTCAGAGTAGAGTGCAACACAAATCAGGTGTCTCACAAGGCGCTCGGAGGAGAGGGGCGGGCAGCCAGCTACCCTGTGTAACCTGCCTCGATCGCAACCGGGGGCACCACGAGCCCTTAGACTGCTCCTCCGACTTCAGGCTCAAGGGGCTGCCACCCCCACCCCCATGCAGAAGGAACCCGGGCAAGTGAGTGCCACAGGGTGGGCCGCTCTGTGTCCGGCTGCCAGGCCACACCGCCCATTGGCAGCAACAGTAGCCATCTCCTTCCTGAGAGCAGAAGGACCCAGAGAGGCCCTTGGGACACTGGTGTCACTCACTGCTAACCCCAGAACTCCTGGAACAAGCGTTTGCCTCAGGAGGACACGTCAGCAGTCCTATAATAGCAGCTAATCACCGCTTCCATTCGCTGAGCTCCTACTACGTGCCAGGCAGCATCCAGCTTCGCTTCCCTCTGACGTCATCACTAATCCCCACAACGACCCCAGGAGGTAGCTATTACTGTTCTACTTTTAGACAAAGAAATTGAGGCTCAGGGAGATTAAATATCTTGCTCAAGGTCACATGGATAGCAAGCGATGAGGCCAGGCTCCAGCCTGAGGTTTGCTGGACTCTCAAGTTGGGGTTCTTTGTTGTCTCTCCGATTCTCAATGATTATGAAATGGAAGATCTTTTCCTTTCAGTTCTTTACTTGTTCTCTGGACCCTGAGCACCTACTGTGTCAAGCAAGCACTGTGCTGACGGATTGGCTTTGCAAAGATGAATAAGGCATGGGGCCCGGGCTCCAGAGGTCACCTTCCTCTGGGGGCAACAGAGGTGGCCCGGTCCTGCAGGGGGTGGGACAGGTGCACGAGCGGGTGAGCACTGAGGACAGCAGGAAAGGGGCCAGGCTGCCCCAGGGCCCCACCCTCAAGCAGAGATCTCTGAAGCTCCCCAGTGTCACCCACGTCAGTAGGGTTGAGAAAAGGAAAGGAGGGAGAAAACTCAACACGGTTGGGCACCCACCTCCCATCTGTCTGGTGTACTATGCACCAGCCCCAAGGTCAGCGCTGTTGCTGTCTGTCCAGACGAGGAAAGCGAAGCCTAAAGAGGTCACGTGCTGTCAAGGTCACCACAGCCACCTGGCACCTGGCTGGAACCCCCAGCCTCTCACTGTCAAGCATCTCACTGTCTTCCCAGAAAGTATGTGGAAATAGAAAAAGAGGGAGTTCTAAGCCTGGCTGCAGGGAAAAAGCCAAAGTCCTCTGCAGAGACCACGGGGGTCCAGAGTGTGAGAACCTAGCCCCCACCACGGAAATGCCAGGTGTCTTGTTCCTGTTAAAGTCACAGCCATGGCCATCTTGCAAATATGCCAAACCCGGAGACAGGGCCGGAGGGGAGACCCTTAGGGGAGTGAGAGCGGGTCAGGGCGTTCCAAACCCACAGGAGCTCCGAAGTGAACTCCCAACATCCACCCCCACGTGTACCCTGACCTCCTCCCTACAGTCCCAGTTTTCCAAGGTAGTGCTCTCGGCGGGGAAGACACTCATCCTGTCCTCACCACCTCGGCTTGTCTTGTCCAGCTGGCTCCTGCCCAGCCCCCTCCAGGCCTCCCCGCCTCTGGTGGGGGGGCGGGGGCGGGACTCCAGGTAACAGGCCTGGGCACTGCCTCCTCCCCGGCCCAGGGTGAGTTGCTGAAGGACACCAGGAGAACTGGTAGGACTTGTGTCCCTTCTGCCAGAGGCACAAACAAACCTACCAGTGGTAGTTACAGGGCAAAGGAGCGGACTGCCTGAGACTCAGGAGGAGGACCGCAGGTTCGCTGCCAGCCACCCCTGCCACGAGGTCCTTGCTCAGAAGCAAGAGGGCCCTTGGAGAGTGGGGCTCTCTCCATTCCTGCCACGAGAGACCTAATACTTCCTCCTCCACAAGACGATTCTCTTCTAATACTAACACCCCCAAGCATTCTCTTCCAGCATTTTCCCAGGGGTTCTGAGAGGCTCACGTCAGGGTTTTCTGAAGCATTATGCAGGAGCCTCCAGGGGTCCACCTCACACCAACCCCCCCCCCCCCCCCCCGGCCCCAGCCAGAGGCTGGTATAAGGGAAGGAGGCGGTAAGGAACTGGAGATCAGGGCAGAAGGGATGGGAGCCATCCTTACCGGCCTCAGTGCCTAGGTGGGGAGGAATGGTGTTCCCTAAGGAGGCCAGAGTGCTTGTGGGGGTGACCACAGGAGGAGGAGCCCTTCACAGGTTTACTTTGTTTGGGGGGAACTTGTTACAGAAAAAGTAGAGGAAAAAGAGCAAAAGCAAAGCATCCATGGTCTGGTTGGGAGAGTGGGGGAAATAAGTATGTACCCAAATTCAAAATGGTGCATTGAAATGCGATGTAAATGAGTTTTTAGCAGATAACAATTTCAGTCTCAATATAAAGAGTTCTTACATATCAGTAAAAAAAAAGAAAATACACACTACTGAAAGCTGTAAATAGTATGGATGGGCTATTCATGAACAAGCTTCAAATGTAAAAATCATATGAAAAAATTCAGCTTCATTCAAAATTGACGAAATAAAAATTAAAATCGGATCTAGAAGTCTATCATAAAACCGGTCATAATAATGAAAAAATAGGAACAATCTAAATATTTAACTCTAGAGTACCATTAAGAATTATAATGAAATACTACGTATCCAATAAATATGATGTTATAAAAATATTTACTAACAGGAAAATGTTTGCAATATAGTAAGTTTAAAGAGCAGATTCCAAAAGTGTTATGGGTAGGCCCATTTTACATTCTGGTAATCACAAGTCCACGTGTACATCATAAAAATTACAGAAGACTAAACACAGTGTTTATAGTACTGAGTTATTACTCAATGGTGGAATTATGGTTTTATTGTCTTGTTTGTTTGTCTATATTTTGTACTTTACCTACAATGATCCCATTTTGATTTTGCAATGAAAACTTTTGGGGGACTTCGAAAGAGTGTTTGGCAGAGGAAATGTATGAAGAAGGCTGATGTCGGAGGTCACCCAGGGTGCAGAACTAGGGGTCAGAAAAGAGATCCAGGAATCACAACTGTGCTCTTACTCTGAAATCTCTAGGGGACCCATGAGCTTGTAGAGAAAGCCCAGAGGATTTGCAGTCAGAGGATGAGTGAATCTTGGTCTACCAGTTGACCCTGAGGAAGACACCGTATCTTTCTGAAACTCAATGTCTGTAAAGTGGAAGTAACAGTAACAGAGGATTACTGTGAGGATTAAATAAGATAATTATTTGCTTTGTGAGGTATAAATCCCTAAACAAATGTGAGATGTTTTCATTAATAACATTCATCTCTGGCTCAACCTTAGCAGGAAAGCAGGCCAAGTGCAAACTGGTCAAGTTCGCGCTGGCTGCTGAGAATGCTGGATACGCTGGAGGTGAGGGGCAGTTTTCCCATGTGGCTCAGGCAAACTGATGTCCTGGTCATAGAATATAAAAAGCAAAAGAAAGTAAACTTACTCTGAGCTCAGAGGAAGGTGTTTGGAGACCTTCTGACTGCCCTCTAAGGAAAGAATACCTAGCCTGTGATGAGAAATCCCTGGTTAGTCGTGTGCTGGGCACCAGGAAAGAAGAGAAATGGCCCAAAGCACCGATGTCTGTGACTCCCTTTACCTACACTTGTTTACTGATGTTTTGGCAAGATGCTTGGGGGCTGAGTTGGGTGGACCAAGGATGCCACAGCTTGTCATCTAAGGAGACTGGGAGAGGCTGGGTGGTTGTTCTGGTTAGATGGGTCCGCACCCTGCACGGGACAAGGGAAGTCACGGCTTCTGGGTGGAGGTGGTAGGCACGCTCATGAATCATAAACCCCTCTCATCCATAACTGGTTAGCTGGTTCTGACAGGGCCACGCACAGTCTTTACGCAGCATGGTGCCAAGCTACACCCTCAAAGAGCACCACTTTCTTCATCCCACTAGATGAAAGGGATTTATTGACCAGATGACAAGCTTTCTGGGTACCGACCATGTTTGGAGACTCCATTTTGACCACACCACTCCAAAGGCCTTCAGATGAGGAGCATGATCTTCACTCTCCTTTTCCTTCTTTTTTGCTCCTTCTAGGATGCCCCTCCTGCCTTTCCTTCTGTTTACCTCTTTTTCTTCTTCGGAGTTGGTTTCATTGCTCTTCCTCTCGTTGTTCCTCAGGTTTCCTTCTCCTTCTCGTGACCACCTTCTGTGGTTCTGGATCCAGGCAGCATCTTCCTCTGCACTCTTCATATCAGAGGCACCCACTACTCGGAGCCACTAGATGCTGGGGTGTCCTGAGCTAGAGCCCACCTGTCCGCAATGTGAGGCTGCCCCTCCTGCGGGGGTTGCTGAAGCTTTGGGTTCATGAGTTTCTTTACTCCTTGCTTCACCTAGTCCCCTCCTCAATTATCCAACAAGCCTTTTCAGATCTTTCTGTAACTAAGTTTTCCTCCTAATCCTCCTGCCAACCCTGCTCCCCTGCCCCCCAGCCCCCTCTCTCTTCTGCGGGGGCCTCTGATCTATCTGTACCTTGCTGGTGCTGACATGTCCTAGACTGAAAGCCTGGTCCAGGTGTGGTTTCGCCTCCTTGTCGGGGGGGGGGGGAAGAGGCAAGGACAGCTGTGTGCTCCTGTAGGCTGCCCCCCCTCCACTCTAGGCTTTTCTAGGCTCTTCTGTTTATCCCCACGATCTAGCCGAGAGCCAGCATGGGAGTGTTTTCTGTCTCTTTTATTCCTTAGAACCTCACCCCACTGTATTTTTTCCAATCAAAATCTCATTGCGAAATCTCCTACCCAAAGGGTTTCCCAATGCCTCCCAGTTTTGAATCAACCTGCTGTTTACAGCACACCCAGATCAGGAATAGAGATGTCAGGGGGCACCAGATCTGATACTACGCCCTGAAGACACTTGTGTGCCCGAATCAGTCATTGGACTGGTGGCACCTGGACAAACAAAACTATTTCCTCCTTATTTCCCAAGAAGGAAGAAACCAAGTAGGCTTCAAGCTGAGAATAAGGACTGGCCATAAGACAAATACCAACCTGGCCATATTCCTCCCCTGGGGAGATGTCTGAGGAAGGGCTCTCACTGCAAGTCCAGCCTGAACCAGGGGAGATCCTCTCTAAGCACCCGCAGAATTGTCTGCCCCTCAAAGTGCCCAGTCCCTCCCAGGGGGCCATTTCATAAGAATATGCATCCTAGTTCCCCACCTGTGACTAACGGGGTAGATTTCTGGTCCTAGAGATCCTGAGTCAGGAGCAGCCTCTAGAACAAACACAGAGAAGTAGGTCAGTGTTGTTTTTTTTTTTAAACAAGTGAAGCGGGTTGTGCCCTGCATACAAAGGTGACCCACCACCCACCTTGGTAACCTGACAGCTCTCTGTCACCAGCAAGAAGGGTCCACCTGTGGTCCTTCTTATTCTTCAGAAGAAGCTGAAGGATAGTTTGGGGTTGAAAGGGCAACCTGGATATCTGCATCATGTTCTAGCCAACAAAGACATTTCACCTTGAATTTTATTTTAAAAATCTATCCAAAGCCCCAATTCTTTTTTTTTTAAGATTTATTTATTTATTTTAGAGAGAGAGAGCACGAGGGGAGGGGGAGGGGCAGAGGGAGAGGAAGGGAAGCAGACTCCCTGCTGAACGTGTAGCCTGACCCAGGGCTTGATCTCAAGACCCTGAGATCACGACTTGAGCCAAAACCAAGAGTCCAACACTCAACCGACTGAGCCACCCGGGTGCCCCTCAAAGCCCCAGTTCTGCATCTAATTCCCAGAGAGCCAATCCCTTCATCTAAATGAACAGAGTGCCATACGGACATCAAGCCAGCCTCTGGAGGCTCATGTCACCCTCTCTTTGAGGTGAATGCTGTGGACAGGAGCTAAATCTTTCTGCTCCTATAATTTGAGGAGAGAAAACACCATCTGATGCCACAGCAAGCTCCTATTCTTGGCACTTGGTGTCACTCTTGCTTCACCTTACTTCAGCTCAAAGCTTTCCATTGACTGGTGGCAACCACCACAGAGGGGCAGAACTCTCTCTCCTCCCTCTCCCTTCCCCCACGTACACACACACACACACACACGCACGCATGCACAAATGTCCGAGCAGGAGCCCAGCTCTCCTGAGGAAGGGCAAGTGTACAGGCAGAGGATGACAGGAGTGCCACATGGTGAATGGTAGGAGGAGGGGCCTCATCTTCCCTGGGAAGGCTTGGGTGGAACCTAAGCTCCTGGAATTGTTGGTTGCTGACTTCGCCAGTGTTTTCTTAACACTTCAAATTGCTCAGAAGACAATCTAATAGCACAAACACGCTCGTACAAACACTAAGAGTCACTTGACATCAAATTGGCAAATTTTGGTGACAGAAACACAGAAATGACCCGTTGATAGCTGCAAGGCTTGCTGTCTCTCTCCTTTTCAAGACCTTGGCTACCAACCTTTGTCAATCCCCAGTTAGGACACATTTTTTTTCTGCTAAGGACACCTTTTGGCAACCAAATAAATGCCATATTCCCTTTTAGTTAGTCTAGTTAATTAGCATAATTAAACTTCTCCTCTTGCATGTTCCATGGCCACTGTTCCACCTTCTCAATCTCTTTTAGCCTCTGCTATTTCCCTTTCCCCACTGCCAGGCTCCTCTCGATAAGGGTTTAAGGAGCTCCCACGGGACTCTGGGCTCACTCCAGAGTCTCCTTCTGCAACCCCCCGCCTTCCCCCCCACACACACACATTGTCTCTAGAAGATTCCTTTGTCCTTGAGGCTTTCCCATGGATGGATAACCCTTAGGATCACTGTGGTTCCTCCTCCTCTGGGGCATAAAGATATAATATTCTTATAAGAAATCTAACTCCTTTACCAGCCATGAGGGAAAGTGGTTCAGAGTGAAGGAGAGGCTTGAGAGTCCCTAGTGAAGAGCCACTGCCCAAGAAGAGCCAGTCTGGAAAGGGCTGCCTGCCCAGGCCCTGGCCGCACTCCTATCCGCAGCAGCTTGCAGCATTACTGGCCTAAGAAACACAACAGTATCTAGCTTACAGGGTTTGCAGTTACTTTGCTGTTCCCTGATCCCAGGCTAACTGGCTGTTCTGAGCCAGAGTTCTCTGGGAAGGTGGGGCCTCACTGTGGCCTCCCAGCAGAGTTCTGACATCTCAACACACCAGGGAGTGGGGGTCACCATTTCCCTGCTGCCTCATCTTTGAAAACACCTTGTGAGAGTGCATCCTGGGTTCCTAGGTTCCACCCAGATCATCCCACCTCGAGTCTACCTTTCAATAGTTCCTGGAACAGGGGCTAGAAGTATCTAGCCTGGCAAGTCGCACCGGAGGTGACTGAAGGCCCTGTGATGAGGAGACACCGTGGCTGAACTACCATGTATCCTATTTCTGGAGGTAAGAGTGTTGATGCCAAGGTCAGGAATGAGCAGCTCCCACCAATAGTACCCTGTGGTGCTGGGTCCCAGCCCCTCCTGCTTTCTCTAGAGCGGCATCCCCAGGATAGCAGATGGAAGCCCTAGACTGTGGGGGTACGTGAAGTGATCCAAGGGCAGTAGCAAGTCAGGCTGCACTCTTCTGGAAGTAATTCAAAGTACTTTATGACCTTTATCTCATTGATCTTACTAACATCCGAGGAAAGAAAGAAGGAAGGAAAAGGGCAGAAGCCTTCTCATTTCATCAAAACAAAGTGAACAGGTGCCTAGGTGGCTCAGTCGGTGGAGCATCCGACTCTTGGTTTCAGCTCAGGTCATGATCTCAGGGTTGTGGGATCGAACCCCATGAACCCCAATAAAAAAAATTAATGACAAAAAGAAGTACATACAAACTTAAAAACATGGACCCTGGCCCTATGGCCCTAGCAAATGAAACAGATAGCTGATTTGTGTGCGTGTGTGTGGGGGGGGGTCCTCTACTCTGGTGGTCTCTGGTAATCTGACAGTTCCGGCTGACTTCAAAAGGTGGCTGAATTGGATCCCCTCTATGCTGAAAAGCGTACCAAAGCACAAATACACCCCCCGCCCTGCCTTCCTCAAACTTTGTAAATAACAGAGACGCTCACTAGAGTAATTAGAACAAAAACTGTCAGCTAAGTGGTTTGAGAAGGTGTGGCTGGAGCATTCTATGTGTTTTCTCTAAAGCCGGACGTGTAGACCGTCCAAAATACAAGTTTAATGAGCTTATAAATTCAGAGTGACTCTTCATATCTTGTAGGGAGGTCTGGAGTTCAACTACTTCACCCTTGACATCAAAGAGGCTGCTATAGGGTGCTCATCCCTGAACATTTCCTCCAGACTCTGCTCCAAGGACTTCTTCCTCACAGTTTCACCATCTACCCACACAGGCAACTGACCCAAATGATTCAGTCCCCAGGGTTCTGTGGAGGGAGGTAACTCCTGGCATTCAACGATGCTTTGTGAGGTTTGATCTCCTGCCGTCCCTCCTTGGTCTGCCCCCGGCTACCCGAAATACCTCTTACACAGTGTGGAGATCCTTTAGGAACTTAGATGCTTCTTGTGAGAGATGGTACCCATCCTGGTTAACTCCTACAAATTCACAAGCTTCTCTAAGGCTCCAATTCAAAGCTTTTTAATTTCAGTAATCTTTGTTTGCTATAGTGCTTTCTAGCCTTTTCTACCTACAGTATTTCTAAACCTTAATTGAACTTGGATTGTGCGTAATGTGCCACAATGTGGAAAACGAATCATATAAACAGTGTCTTGCTGACAGGGTAGGTCTAACACAGGAATAACCCTGTCAGCACTGTTGGCCCACATAGGACTACAAATCCAAAACAACCGCAGGTGCTCCCATGGGGCACTCGTGGGTGACATCACTGGGCTGGACCTAAGATGCTCACCCTTTCCAGCCAGTTTGTGTTTAGAACCAATATCTGGGATGCCACTTCAATATTTTACTCTATTTCTGATCAATACCAGCCCAGGGACTTAGATAAAATAAGCCTGAAGCTGAATACTTTGTCACCACTTTTTCCAAAGCCCCAGGACAGCATTGTTAATATCCAGGGCCGCGCGTGACCTTGTTATCCCACACCATGGAACGATCTATTAATTAAACAGACAGCCAACCTTATAACTAGGTCAACCTCATATATTCCAACTTAAGCCCTTGATTCCATTCCTTTCTCTCCAAAATTATTTAGAGGAAATTTCTCACCGACCAATAACGCAGAAGTGTTCTTATGCCCCGAGGTGGACTCTTCAGTCCACAGCTAACCCCGAATCCCCCACAACTTTTTTTTTTTTAAGATTTTATTTATTTATTTGAGAGAGAGAGCACATGAGAGGGGGGAGGGTCAGAGGGAGAAGCAGACTCCCTGCCGAGCAGGGAGCCCGATGCGGGACTCCAACCAGGGACTCCACGATCATGACCTGAGCCGAAGGCAGACGCTTAACGACTGAGCCACCCAGGTGCCCCTCCCCCACAACTTCTGACATCTACCCCAGTATGCAGAGCCTCCTCTGTGAGTTTTTATTTTTCAGCCTCTATCATCCTCATGGGTTTTCCTGTGGTTCGGAGGATATAGCCGAGACAAAAGGAAAGTCCCAATCCTGTGTGTGCTGGTTGAATGAGTAAAAACCTTAAGACAAGGGACTCTCGGAAAAATCATCATGACATCCTAAGAAGTCATGGTGCCAAAGTTCCTGACGCTACCCTGCCAGCCCCGAACCAGGTGCAGACACAGACCCGCCCTTCCCTGGGCTGATTTAGCTCCACCCGTTAGGCATCTACATCTGTGCTCTCTCCCCATTGAATCAGTGCCCAACTGGTTACCTCCCAGGGCTCCTCGAGGGCATCACCAAGTAGAAGTCCTTCCTAGGTGGGGGACAGCGCCATTCAGGAAGCCTAGCATCACCCCGATAGTGCCACCCAAACCCTTTGCCTTTGGTAGGTACATGGGGAGGACTCAGGAAAAAAGGGGTGTCTTGCGATGTGGCAGCCCGGGTCGAAGTGAGTAACTGAGCCCAGGGGGCAGGGAGAGGGCCTGAACAGGGAAGGAGTCTCCTGAGACACGGCTGCACAGGTCTGAGCTAGAGGCCCTGCTAGAAACTGAATGATGAAACAGAAACACCTTCATAGTGGTGATTGAAATCCCAGATTAGCTTGGCTTGCTTTCTTTCCCGCTTTTTTTTTGTTTGTTCGTTTGTTTTAATTTATGTCTGTATGAATTTTTTCCTCTGGGCACATGAAACTTGCATTTTTTTCTCTTCTTCAGTACTCCTCCAGGGGCAAGAGAAATGGGAAACACCGGG